GAGCGTTGCTCTGTCCCTGTGCTGTCCTTCCAGCCCCAGTAGACATGGTAGCAGAAGTGGCCATTTCTCCCCAATCCATGAGGCACCTGCAAAGTACCTTCCTCATTCCTCAACAGATCCATGGCCATATGCTGGTACCTTTTGTTTCTCTGTGTCCCATCTGTTTGATGGTGCTGTGAGCCAGGTCACGCTGAATAGTTCTCCAAAGCACAATAATTACCCCTGAGACTGGCAAGGAATTGGTTGGCTAAAACCTAGAAATGAAATGACCTTCATTCTATTCACTCTTCAAAGTTGGGTCCCCCTCCAAAAAAAGTAATTGATTTTGTCTTTGGTGATTTCTGCTTGGAACCCTTAACAGGCATGCTCCCAGGATTTCTTGTTCTTGTTGGTATTAACTGCATTTCTAAAATCTCTTCTAATCTTTGCTTCCACTATTTTATCGCAAACTTCATTTGAACTTTCCAGAATGGCTCCACCTCTTTTCATTTCTGTTTTAAAATGTGGGGCCCACATTGTTTTGCCTCTTTCTTTTACCTTAAGGTTTCCACTTTCTTCCCCAGGACTTTATGATTCTGCAAAGAAAATCGACACATTTTCACTTTTAAGCTCATTTTCCCTCACCTGCGAGTCCATGTTGCTAGGACCTGCTGATGTGTGTTCACATATTTTCTGTGTTCTCTTTAGGGCTTTTTATAGATGCCTATTTTTATCAGATCATCATTACTTCTTAATTGTTCTCAACACTTTTTTCTTTGTCATTCAAGACAGATTTAAAATAGCAGAGTGGCACTTAAGCCTTTAGATAATCTTTCTGAATCCCTTCCCTTTCTCTTTTATTAATGAGATCATTTCCCTTTGATGCATTTTCTTTTCATCAGATAGGTGTAAAACTCCCAAATATGCTTCCCTTCCTTGAGGACATTCAGACCTCACCTTGGCAACCTAAATATTTTCATTATTCTGCTAGTTTCAGGAATTCCAGAAACTGAAGAAGCTGTCAGATTGGTAGTTATGATGGGTAGATTGCAAATTTAAAAAAAAAAAAAAAAAGTTTCCCATTCAGCAATTTACCCACAGAATATTCTGTGACATTAGTTGTGGTTCCCACAATGTGTCAGCCTTATCCCCACTTGCATCTTGGGTTCCCTGTTATCCGCCCTTTCCTGCCTTTTTAGCTTTGTTTTGGGGCAAATCTGATCTTTTGGTCTCCAATAGTTGATTGTTCTGAGGAGCATGTTCCTCTTGGGTATCACTGTTCACATTATTGACCTGTGGCAGAGAGGTGATCTCCAGGAGAGGCCAGTGCAGTCACCACCATGGGCAGGTAGGCCAGGGCAGAGGCGATGTTGGACAGGACAGGATGGAAGGGAAAAGGGGGCATTGAATTGTAGTCCCCAGCATCAGGGCTACAGGAATAGGGGTTTATGCCTCTGGTCATTAGGAGTGTGTGGCGGGGGTAGATAAGGGAGAATGTTCCTCTGGTCACCAGGCAAGATTGTCTGGACTCTTCCCATTGGCTGCAGTCAGCATTCAGGACCTGGCCCCACGTAGGTGTGACAAGGGAGGTGCATGGCCTACAGTCAGTCAGGTGGGGGACCTATTGCTTTGTGCACACCACCCACCTCAATGGCAGGGGCCACTGCTCTGGAGTAAGCCTGTCTCTGAATCCTAGCTAGGACCCCTGGAGCTCTCATCCTCCTTCCTACCCTTCCTTTCCTTAGATCCATATCATGTTCTGCTTCCCTCCTGTTGTGTCATCTTAGTGTTTCTGTTTGTTGTTGGGGGTGCTGTGAAGTTGCCTCTCAGTGTTCCTCATCTGAGATTGGTTGCTACTAGCTTTGTCTCAAGATGGCCTCACTGAACTAGGATAGCTGACAGAGGTCCTCTGCTCAATGTTCCTACTTGTTTGCTGCATTCATTCAATTCTCCTTCATTTGGTATTTGACTAAATTCCTTATCCTTCTTTTTGATGTTCAGGGTTCCAGGATGGTCACCTGCATCTGTGTCCCTTAATTTTTTAGGTCTTTTCTGTAGCTTGGTGGTATGGTATGTCTGATTATACTGTTTCCCTGGTTCTACCTGAGATTGTGACTTCATTCCCCCTTAAAAGTAAACCATCAGCAAAAGAAATACAAGTTTCCTTTGTCTAGTCTCACCTCCTCTTTTTGTCTATCTCTCATAACATTCTAGCCCTTTTATCACAGTGATTGAATATATCCCCTACAAAGCCATCACTACAATGGGTAAAAAACTAACAGGATTTATGGCCTATTTGGTTTCCGTTTTCCCCTTTGTCAACTTTCATTTTTTTATTAGATGATTGTTATCTATTTTTTTATGGATTGTTTAAGTTTGGGGTCTACTTTTTTGTCTCCCTCCTTTATATAGCCTGCTAGTGTTTAATCTCACATCCAAATCTCTAAAGATATCATCAGTAGGCCTGTTAGGAAATGGTGACTAGAGGTTAGTTTAATTCACCCACATTAAAGGAACCTCCTGGGAGCCAGACCCTGGCATACAGACATGTGCAGGCATTATCAGTCTCCAACAGTTCAAAGACCAGTGTAGTGACCTTTACACTGTGGTCTCTGGGTCAAAGCACCAGGTCAAAATAAACCAAGAAGCAGGAAGTAATCCAAATGCTCATCAACTTGTGACTAGATAAACTAAATGTGGTAAATCCATATAGTGGAATATACTAACAAAAAGGTGGGGAAAGCCAACATTTGTCATCAAGTCAGTGGCAACCCTATTTGTGTCAGAATAGAACTGTGCTCCTCAGAGTTTTCAGCAGCAGGATTTTCAGAAGTAGATTGCCAGGCCTTTCTTCTGAAGTACCTCTAGATAGATTCAAACTACCAACCTTTGAGTAAGTAGCCAATGGAATAGGCTGCCCAGCAATGAAAAGGAACAGACTATACTGACAAATACAACATTCAACAAACAGCACAGATGAACCTCAAAAACATTATTCAAAGTTGAAAGAAGATGGGGACAAAAATCATCAATACAAAATTTCTAGAAAAGGCAAGACTGTCAACACTAAAATCAAATCACTGTTTGCTGGGGCTGGAGGCAGGAGCAGGGTTTGACCGGGACTTCTGTGAGGAAATGTTTAGGGTGATCTCATGTGTTTGACTGCAAAATCATGTGAACTGCAAGGTCGGTGGTTCAAGCTCACCAGCTGCTCCTTAGAAACCCTATACAGGGTCGCTATGATTCGGATTCGACTCAATGGCACTTAATAACAACAACAATGTGTTTTAAAGCAGTTTATAATGGTGGGTGCATGATGAATATAAAAATACATTTTTAAAAATTGAACGGTATACTTACAAATGGTGAATTACAAGGTATCTAAATGATATCTCAATAATGCTGGGATTTGAGGGAGTTTCATTGTTTCAAAAAGAATAAAGCCAGAAAAACACTGTCTGGCTATCTTTTAAACCATAACATTCAACTCTATTATCCTAAGATTTATCTTCTAGTTAAGAATTAATAATCCTCTTCCTGCCTTCCCCTTGGGGACAAACAGTTTCAAATTTGAAGATACAAACTGAGAAATAGCCAGCCAACCAAGTCTTCAGTACAGAGGTTGTTGTTGTTAAGTGTCAGTTGAGTCAGTTCCAACTCATAGCGACCCTGTATAGGGTTTCTGAGGCTTTAAATCTCTGAGGGAGCAGAGGTAATAGACACTTAATGATTGTTTTGATACATATGAAGCAAAAAAAAAAAAAAAGATTCTGGGTGATGTGTTGTCCCTAAATGAAGAACTCCATGCAAATTCTTTCTGTAGGCATTCACTATTGTTAGCAATAACCATTTCTTTGTTAGAACTGAGGTCTGTCTAGTCTTTGGTTACTACCATGGCTTTCTATGAGTAAGATACAATGTCCTTAATTTTACAAATTTCATAACTTTTATACAGTTACCTCCCATAGCCAGGACCAAGATTTCTCAGTATTGAAGTATTCTCATAATGGAAATTCTTAGATCAGTCAAGTCTTATTTAAGTTAGCCAATGGCCTCCTTGCAAAAAAGATAAATCATTTCCTAATCCCTCAATTTGCTAATAGCTATTTCCAGCATAGGGAATCAATCCAAGTACTATCTTTAGTCATATTAGATATGTTACAATATTTGTCGAGAAAGTCCTGTCTGTACCTAAGGAGTATTCTCCCTGTCACCCACTGTCACTCAGTCTTGATTAGAGGTCACAGTGATTGTTCCCTTTTGAAAGTTATTAATTTTGAAGATCAAATTGCAAAGCTGGAAGGTTCCATGGGACATGCAAAACACACCATCAGTAGTGCTTGCTGTACTCTGGGGCCATAATGAAGACAGCTGTAATTGACACTTTGCCCCTGTAGTTTATTTTTTAACCTTCATCTACATCATGCTTCTTCTATAAAGCATCATGTCATTTTTTTGGACCCACACAGCGTCAGATGGTATTGTTGGATATGGTCCATTGGTTAATTTCGTAAAGAAGTCTTCTAATCACTATAGCCATCACTTTAAATACTGACGTTCTAATGGAAATCTCTCTAGATGCCTTCTCACACACACATACACACACATTCAGAAAACACACACTTCCCATCATCTTGCAGGACATTTTCCACTAGGAGTGGTTGCATCATTATCATTTTTTGATTGGTCGTTTAAATCCGGCACCAACATGTTCCCACAGAATGGGTGGTAACCCAGTTGTCTTTGACACCAGTTATACTCAGGTTAACACACAGTTTTTATAGCAAGTAGTTGAAAGTACTTTCTAAATTGATGAAAGCCTAAAATGAATACCTCATTCCTCATGGTATTTCATAATTCATATGTGGAAAATAAATGAGATATGTTTAGCATATCTGTTGTCCTGGTTGGTTTGCCTGTTCCACCAACCTTATCCTGTCACTTTACTTTCTAACTCCTCTCTCCTTCTTTCTCTGATCTCTGCCCACCCCCTTTCTCTTGTTTTTCCTTGGCCATCTGAGATGTTCCAGCAGAGGATGATCCTTCCCCATGTGCTCTGGAGACGGGCCATGGGCGTCAGTGTCAGAATGGCACCGTATGCAAGCCCGGGTGGGACGGTCCCAAGCACGGCATCACCAACTTTGACAATTTTGCCTTCGCCATGTTGACGGTGTTCCAGTGCATCACCATGGAGGGCTGGACAGATGTGCTGTACTGGGTACGTAGCTTAAGATGGGCAGTTGAAAGACAAGGAATCCAGAAAGGTATGATCCTTTGTTTGACATCTCCCTATGGTCACATAACATTCTGATGGAATGATCTTTGATTTCTCCCAGTTCTTGTCCAAGAAACAACGCATGAACTTTTCACCCTAATGTGCCCTGTCTCCCTGTTTACTAGCCCAACAGATATCTCACCTTTCTGTTTGTCCTACAATAGTGAAAAACACTGGTATGCAATCAATGCTTTGTGAATCTGTTGGCTAAACCCAGAACAAAGATTTCATTCAACTCATCCTACTATAGAGTTCTAATTCTACTTTACTTGCTCTTTCCTCAATGAGAGTTAGATGGCAAATTCTGTACTCACAATTATTCACTCTTAGGACTTATTAGGAAACCCTGACTTGGTCTTCTAAAAAGAAACTCTATAAAGAAACAATTTCTATAGAATTTTAAAGCATTGTGGCTTGTTATTATTCTTTCTCATATTTATTTGTCTTAACATACTAGAATAATGTATCAGCCAAATACCGTGTCATCATGTTTGCTGCTAACAAAACATTCTACTGGTTATGTGATGCAAATTGAGGAATACACCTTCTTGAGGGTCAAGCAGTAATTCTTCCTTTACTTCAAAGATGCACTTTTGCGATCAGTAGCCAACACTGATCAGCCAATGCTGATCTTCTAGCATTGGAAGGTCCCACTGGAGAGGAACACTAGAATTCTATGTCTTGTCCCCTAGGCAGAGACACACATCATATGTGAGCTTTTCCCATCCTGACAGAGTCAAGTCTGTTATTTGTAAAAACCGCCAGAAAAATATAGTGTTTTTTTGTAGCATTTCCTGCGTCAGCATGAGAAATGACTTGCCAAAATCCAGTTTTGTTCTCCAGCATTTGGGCAAATAATGCTTATTGCCAGTCTTGAAAATGCCATCTCTCCAAGAGTTTTGCAAATAGTCAAATTTATTTGGCCATCATGAAAACAATATAAGAGCCCGCTTAGGAAGCTGTGTTTACAAACTAAAGCAGAGAAGAGTGAGAGAGAAGTGAATGCCTTCCTAACGAGCAGAGCTGCCAGATAGGATAAGCCAATGCCAAGAGAGGTGTTACACACGGCTTCTTTCAGAATCAGAAGGAAGAGTTTTGTAACAGTACAGAGATGTGGAATGGGATATGGTACCATCATTTTATATATGTATAAGCACCATATCCTATTGATTCAAACCCTCTGTTCTCGATGTGTATATTATAGTTGACATGCTCAAACCCAGTGTTACTATAAAATGTGTATCTTTCTGGAAAATGGCTACTTAAAACTTGCCTGAGTAACTTGTGTGTCCAGCTAGCATTTATTAAGTATTTCTTGCATGCCATGTGGGGTCCTACATACAGGATTCACACATGAATAAGATTCAGTTCAGACTGACAGGTTCAGTCTAGAGAAACAGACTAAATTCCACACTGAATACTGGTGGTAAAACTAGAGTCCACGCCATGGTAAAGTTGCTACGTTGTGATAACATTCAAAAGAAGACAAAGGTCAGATCACCCCTGTTGAGAACTAAAATGAAGCACAGATAAAACACTTCTCAGACTGTTTGAAGAAAACTTTGTTTTGAATACTTTGTCAGACAGGGACAGGGAGTTGAATTAATTACACTTAGCAAAGCAGGGCAAATTCCCCAAGTGGCCCTAACGGGTCCTTCTACCTTGGGTGAGTACTTACAGAAACTACCTTCTGCAAATAGGAAGGTTTCTGCCAAGGGTCATAGAACATGTGGGACTTTGTTTTGGAACCCAATCCCATGAGCTTCAAACTCATGCCGTAAGTTGCTATGGAAATGCCTTCCATGGTTTCAAATTGAGGGCAGGGTGGCAGTGGGTTGGTGGGTGTGGGGTGGGGGCGAATAGGTATAATTTACTTTGCTGATGACCTTGATGTATTTTTGTGATCTTTCTTCATCATTCCCTCCCTCTGCCCCACTACAAATGGTTGCTACCCCCCCCCCCCCAGCCAGATGTTACCCACAGAAATACTGTCAGGATGACAGCCTGAGTGGGGAATGAGAAACACTACAACTACCAATTTTCAGCAGCTGTGTTGTGCTTTCTCCCCTGGGGTGTGTGTGATAGAGCTCTGGCTGGGAATGGGGAAAGTGTCAGAGGTGAAAGAACAATCTCAGGCGCATGGGACAAGCCTCTCTGATTTTCCCAGCACCTTTTTAAAATACATACATATATGCACACATACTTAGAATTGAAACAGAGCCTCCAACTTAGCTATTCATGATGGCGGCACTTCCCAGCCCAATGCTCCTGCTCTCAGAAAATGTCTCTAATTGCTTTGACCTTTCTGTGGTCATTTCTTCCTTCATGCCTCCCTCTTCTTTACTCCTACTTTGACATTGCTCCTCTTTGCCTCTACCACTCTATCCTAACCGATAGTCTCTCAACACCAGATACAGAGCTTTCTAAATAAAAAGATGCCCATACATTCATCAGAGCCATTCAGTTAGAAGTCCAGGTGTCTGCTTTTTGTAAGAGTTCCCCCCAGTTATTCTCATGTCCAAGCTGGAATTTGAAAACCCCTAAAAGTCTCATCTCTTGACTGCTGATGGTGCCATTAGATTTGAACCAGCCTAGGAAAATCATTTATACAGAAATTGGCAACATAGGGCCTCTCACTCAGAAGAAGACATTTCCATTTTAAAATATAGGAATGTATGGAGACCCCAGAGCTGGGTTCATTCTGAACCCCTGGCCAGCTGGTTATGTTCCTGGGGAAAGAATAGTTCACTAGAGCGTTAAAGAAGTAATTTATTTAGTAACTAGATGTAGCCTGAATTGGCAACCTATAGCAAATGGCAGACATTAGCCTTCAGCTGTGGATGATACTAAGTCTACTTCTTTTTCTACCATCCATTATTGCATTCCATTGATTTTGGAGAGTTAGTGGGCTAAAAAATAAAATGAAAATTGGTCCAATAGTACTTGAGCATTTTTTCAGCGATGGTAGCCATTTGGCCATGCTTTAGGTTAGGGCCCCAAATAGCTGATCAATGTGCTTAAACCCTATTCATTTAATTTCTAGAAGTATGCACATGACAGGGTAAAGTGGGAGACCTTGGGGATTTGGAAAGTAACCCAAAATTCATCTGTGCTGTGTTATTTCCTCAGGCAATGACTTCTTAAACCAATCTTTCCATTTAATCACACAATGTCAAATTTATTTTTTAAAGTAGGGTTCATGTTCCGACTCATAGTGACTGTATAGGGTTCTCTCCAAAGAGTAGCTGGTGGGTTTGAACCACGAACCTTGCAGTTCAAGTCAACCTTGTGATCTTGTGCATTATCCTACAGTGTCTGCCACACCAGGACTCTGGAGTAGGGATGGTGATCAGATAAAAAGCATTAGCCTTCTATGGAAACAGGGAAGAACAGAGAAGGGAGACACCAACATAACACAACATGCCATTGGTTTCTTTCTTTTTCAAAAAAAAATTCTGCTTTCAGAGTTTGTTTGTTGCTGTTGTTTAAAACCAAACATCCCTTCCCTTCTGTCTATAATTCAAAGCTTCCTGTTTATATTGTTTAGACGTGTGCCCTTCTAAGGATACAGACACCAAATCAAGATGATCTGAGAACGCTGTAGGATTCTCAGTCACAGTCTGAGAATTAGGGGAGATTTGGAACTTTGAGCATTGTCCCATCCACATTGTAGGCAAGTCACAATTAGGTAGTAGAAACATCAGTCAATCAAGTATCTATTCAGTGCTGCATTTGTACTTAGAATTTGAAATAGCACTATGTTTATGGGTCACAGAATAGCATGACCACTGAGCTGGAGTTTGGAACAGCAATAGAAAGAAGACCACATGTGGGAATAGGGGAAATTTGAGTGGGGGCCAGATGTTTCTAACTCTTCAGGAATTGTTGTTAAGTACCATTAAGTCAGTTCCAACCCATAGTGATTCTGTGTAGGGTTTCCAAGGAGTGACTAATGGGTTTGAGCCTCTGACCTTGTGGTTCAAACTCACCTTGCAGTCCAACACATCATCCTGCAGCACCAATTATGCATGAATAGTGTAGTGCTGCAGGTTAATGCACTGTACTGCAATGTCGGTTTGAACTACAAGGTTGATGGTTCAAGCTCACAATTTCTCCTCAGAAACCCTATACAGGGTCGCTATGCATTAGAACTAATTTGACGGCACTTAACAACAATTCTTCATCAAGAGGATTTCATTGACCCTGGTTCATCCAGTATCTTTCTGGTTTTAGGGATCCCAAGAATATTGCATACTCTGTGGCTCAGAAAACTACCTCTGGTCTGTTTTCCTGAACTCATGACCCTCCACACCCTGTCACCAACATAGTCCTTCCTGGCAATACCCAGTGCCCCACCCACCCACCCAATTGGTTTCTCCAAAATCAGTACTTCTAATGGTTTTTTTAAAATTAGAAATAAGGTTAAATAGGATATTTAATGAGAACCCATATAAAAGAAAGATTTTAGAATCACAAATAGTGCCTTCTTCTGTACTATCTGGGGTTCATTTTGGCTCAGGCATCAGGAGACGTTAGGAACAAAAGCCTGATGTTATCACTGTTCATACGTCAGTTGTCAGCCCTCACTTTTCCTTCTTGTCACTCCATTTACATGTCTGGACATGCTAGGAAGGTGTTTCTGCTGCTAAACTCAAACACACACACACACACACACACACACACACCCCACTAGCTACCACTCCCTGGTGTTGGTAATGCTGAAGTACCCGATTTATGACAAAGATCTTTTGCAGCCAAGCAGGTTGAATTGGGGTGTTTTAGCCTATTTTTCCCCATACCATCTTATATTCAAAATTGTCCTCTTTTCACTAGAGAATATAGAAAAAGAGTTTGTGAAAGAAAACAAAACAAAAACACAGAAATGATGGAGCTGAATTCTAATGACAACCAACTTTGTTGTTAAGTGCATTCAAATCAGTTCC